CCATGTCACATAGACTTCTGAGCTCACACTCAAACACCAGCAATGGCTTATCGCCTTGCCTGTCTAGACTTTTGGGACTACGGAATACCAAAAGGAAGGCCTGTTTTCATTCTAGAAGTTTGTGGGCTAGACAAAAGAGCTGTGGGAGTCTGAAGAAATAAAACAATTCCTCTAAACCTTCCCCCAGCACACATGGCCTTCCCAGGACCAAGCCAGGGAAGGATAAATTTAACTGTGGAACTGACAAAAAAAGACAAAGAAAACAGCTCAGATGACCAAATGCACAGCAGCAGAAGTCGTCACTCTCCTAGCTGAGCACATGGTCACTGTACCAGGGCTCCTGGGACCTCATCTTGGCAGCGTTCCAAGGACGCCAAGTCTGCATCAGCACGCTTGGACAGCTCAGCCACATTAACTGTGAGAAGGTCATTCAGAGGAAGAGCATCTTCATGGCCAGCATCAGCTCTGGCCACTGCTCATGGTAGATACTGGATAAAAACCAGGACTAGGGAGAGGACTCAGTAGATAGGGTGCCCACTGCACAAGCGTAGTTCCGATCCCCGGTACCCACATAAGAGACCAGGCGCACTGGTACACACCAACAGGTGTACAGCTTACAGGTAAACCAGATCCCTCGAATCATAGGTAAACCAGCCTAGCTCCATCAATGAGCTCCAGATTCTCAAAAGATAAGGTGGGGAACAATTAAGGAAGATACCTAACTGACATCAACCTTGGCCTCTTCAGGAATTCTATAGGGATGTATACACACGCACGCATACACACACACACACACACACACACACACACGGGGGGGGGTGTCTATATGGACACAGCATGTTAACAACACGTTAAACAGTATAGGGACATGAACTAAATTGGGCATTTATAAACCTTGTGTAGTGCCTGTAATTCCAACACTTGGGATGTGGAGGCAGGAAGATCAGCTCAAGTCAAGCCACAAAGTGAGCTTCAGGGCAGCCTGGGCTACATGGTACCCTGTGGGGGGCGGGGAATCAAAACTATGCAAAAATCTCAAAAGATGGGGATATCGTTATTCACTTGAAAATAGGGATTTAAAATAAAGCCATCTCTTCAGGCTATTGAGAGTGGTTCTACTTCAAAGCAGGCATTAACTTTAAAGGCAATCTAGTAAAACCTGCACTGACGGGTTCCAAACATTTGCTTCCCACTCAGACATCTCAACTGTCACCCAGAAGGCACTCTCCCTAGACACTTGATGTCTTCCCTCGTCCAGTGCCTGGAATGTCTACACTTCCCCCATCAACACTACCCGCTACTTTACTCCGCCAGCACCAGCAATCCCCCTCCCTACACATCTGCTGTCATTCGGCAACTCCGAAGACAATGCGAGCTGCATAGGTTTTCCTCAGACCCATTATAAAAGTATGGACACAGGCTGTCACTCTGGTGACCTGCCATTCACCACCGCCCCTAGGCCAGGACACCCTGAAAAACATAAAGCCACACGCAGCACTCTTTAAGTCTCTCAGGAGTGGGGTTACCTGTGAGGATGCTGAATGGTGACACAGGGTACCAAAGCCCCAATACAGATCTTCCCAATGGCTGCCCTTGATGACTTTACTGACATTTCTGGATCACCACCTATCCCTATCCCCCTCCCAAAATGTGACTCCAAGGTGACACAGGGCCTCAGTCATAAAGTATTTCCCATGCAAGCATGAAGGTCTGCATCTGGTCTCCAGAACTCAGGTTAAAAAGAGCCTATGACACTGTAGTGTGCACCTCTATTCCCAGTACTAGGGAGAAAGAGTAGACTAACCTACTTAGTGAGTTCCAGGCTAGTAAGATATACACAAAACCAAAAAAGTGGATGATGACTGAAAAATAACACCTGAGGTTATCTACAGACATAACACACCCCCCTCTCACACACACACATACACACACACACACACACACATACACACACACACACAATGGCAGAATGACATCCGGAAAGACTAGTGAGCCATCACTCTTCTTGGATAAGCCCCTGAGCTGTGACTACTGGCATTTCCATGCTTGGGAGGCCAGCTAAGCACAAGGCTGGGGGGTCCTTTTGAAACTGCACGTAAGTTGCATGGGAAGGGAATCTGCATTGCTCTTAACTCTTGGGGTCCCTCCCAGCTCCCAGCTTCTCCCTGGGAATGCTGTGGATGCTCATCCATATGCACATGGTCTTTATAAAAATGTACACAGATGTGTGAATAGGTAATGAGCACAGCGTTCACACTTCTACACACAAAGCACTGGGGAATGTGCACGAGGCGCAGGAGGCGATTCAAAGGCTCAGAGAGCTTTGCTGCGACAGTTGCTGGAGTTCACAGGGACAGCTACACTCAAAGAAGGGACCAGTGCCATCTCAGGTTACCTTAAATCCAACCAGTAGGAGAACTGGGGAGATGGCTACTTGAGGAAAGCACTCACTTGCAAGCATGAGGACCTGAGTCTGACCACCAGAGCATACATTTTTTTAAAAGGCCAGGCAGGTATAGGTAGATGGTTCAGTGGTTAAAGTACCAGCTGCACAAGCATGAGGACTTGAGTTCAATCCCCACCACCCACATAAACCTACAGCCCTAGCACTCCTGTGGGAAGATGAGAGACAGAGACAGGAAACCTGGAGCTCAGCTAGGTCTCTGCTGGCATAAGCAGCATAAAAAAAAAAAAAAAAAAAAAAAAAAAAAAAAAAACAGAGCCTGCTCAGACAAGGATGAAGGCAAGAACTGATACTTGAGGTCTCTCTCTCTCTCTCTCTCTCTCTCTCTCTCTCTCTCTCTCTCTCACACACACACACACACACACACAAAATTTTAAATTAAAAATAAAAAGCAAGGCAGTGACACAGGCTTATAATTTTGGTGCTGTTGTCCTCTGGCCTCCACAAGCAAGGACACACACACACACACACACACACAGGCCATTTGGATAGGAATAGGGGTTCCAAGCCCCTGTCGACTCCTTATCCTACTGACCCCAGTCCCCAATGTCCCAAACTAGGAAGGTAGGCTGGAAGGAAGCACAGGAAAGAAATTACTCAAATCTTTTCCGTTTGCCCAGACATTTAACTGGGCCACAGTCAGTTGCTGAAGACAGAGACTTCCTCTTTTTTTCTGTCCCTAAAAAGGGTACCTAGGTCAATCTCTCTCCACTTTTCCCTCCTCTCCATTTCCAGGGCTCTACATCAAGTAAGTGGATCACACAGACATTAAAGTTGATAACAGAAGAAAAACTAAAATTTCTCTAAAAGGGGGAGCTTTGTTCTCATGCTAACAGAATCACACTTAAGCCTGCCCATCTCAGCTCTGAGCAATAGCCACAAAATGATTTAGAGGAACTAAGGGAGGGTGGGAAAATTCATAAAGATAGATATGAGGTGGTCTGACTTTTTTGGCTGAGACAAGTGAGCTCTTGTTCTAGCGACAAAGGGTCTCCCACAAGTCCAGGGTGAGAGATCCCTCCAGTCTTAACAACACACTTGGGATAGGTCAGCTAGTAAACGTGTTTCCACTCAGATCTTAATAGATTCTGATTCGATGTAACCTTAGATCTAGGGTGACTTTACTATTCCACCGAAAAACCAACACAAACCTCAGCTTGCTGCTTTCCAACTCCACGGCCCCAGAGGAACCCAGGAACATATACAAACACCAAATCGAGGCCTGGCAATTAGCGCCAGGAGTTACTGAGCTGTTAGACCTAGACCAAGGCAACCTCAGCAAATCAGGAAACATCCTCTGGGACACACACACACGCGCGCGCGCGCGCGCGCATGTAAGCAGCTCAAGGGTGCTCCAAAAGCCACTGGAAAAAAAAAAATGCAAGCGCCACCCCTTCCCTCTTCCTTGCGGTGGCTTTGTGTGTGACATCGACTGTGAGCGCGCGAATGTTGCCAGGCTCACACACCCCCTTCCAAACCCAACCTGCTCGCGGCGCAGAGTCAATGCGCGCGACTGAGCACCGTGTGTGTCCTAAGAGCGGGTCCACCTGGCAGACCAACGAGTCGCCAGGCCTCTGGTCCTCCACTCGCGCGAGGAGCAAGGGTATGACATCCACGCCCCCCGTCTCCAGAGGCCAGAGTGGCTCTGGAAAGCAGAACCCTTGATGCCCGTCATAGGCTAGGCAGAGGCCTCGGGACGAGAAAGGGTGGACAAGAGGGCACAGAGATTCCCCACTCGCGTACCCCCAAGCCTCCAATTTAGCGAGCTGCGGCCCCAAAGGGGACAGAGGCGGCTGGCCTGGCGACTCGGCAGGAAGTTCCCAGGACCGCACTGAGCATGCTCTAGGGGAGTGTGTACGCGGGTGTCGGCCCTTGCATCCCGCAGCCTCTGCCATCCCCCGGCCGTGGGTGCACGCTGACTGGATCGCGGTCAGACTGACGGTCCCCAAGGCGATAAATCTGGGTTCCGAAGGGGGTACCCTTCATCTCCCAGCCTGGAGCTTCGGATATTCTTATCCCTTTTCCCCAGGGGCCTGGGGCCCCACTCCTTCATTCTTCTTCCCAACTGGCTCAAGGCATATCCCACTCTGAGCTCCCGGATTCCCAGGACCCTAGTCTGGCCCACGCTGGCATCCTAATTCTATGTGGTTTCATCGCGGTCCCAGTGCCCAAAATGCCAATCTCAGCTTCTCGCCTCCAGCCCACACCACCCGAGTGCCCTCTGGACAGTTCCTTGAGAAGCCTAAAAGCCTCAGAGCCTGGGGAGGGTCTTCAGGGTCCCATGAGAGAGGAAACCCCCAGCAGGTGGTGGACCCTCCAAGCGCGCCCCTCTGTTGTACTCTGAGGTTTCCACCCCCGTCCTAGATCAGACACGGCCAGAACACCCACGCCGCCCCGGTGTTAGCGCTGGGCCGAATAAGGGCTGCTTCAGCTCCTCTAGCGTCCCCCACGCGTCCCCGTGATCCCCAGTGCGAGCATCTCCTCGTGGGAGAAGGTGAGCTCGGAATCGATCGCCCGACCCTGCAGCAGCTCATACCTGCTAGTAGGGGAGCAGCAGAAGCACCATCAACAGCAGTCGGGGTCACTCTCCAACAGCCGTGCTCTGGGAGGCAGGGGGTCCCAAGCGCAGTCAGGAGCCGGGTCACAGCGCCCCCAGAGCCCAAGGCGCGGCTACCTGGGCAGGCTCGAGTCTGGGGCAGCCGCCGACGCCGACGCCGCCACCGCGGGAGCCGCAGGGCTGCCGGGCGAGCGGGCCTCGGCAGGGACGGTCTGCAAACTACCAGCCCTGGCGGGGCCGTGCGCAGCGCGTCCACCGTCCGCCCCTAGACGCAAGCAGGGACGTTCCTCCTGGGTCCAAGCGACCAGAAACTAGTGGAAAGGAAATCTGTTCGAGGTCCTACCAACCCTTCTCTGATCGACCTCCCCAACTTCTCTCGGCTTCTGTGCTCGCGCTTTTCTCCTAGGCAAAGGGATTCCGGGGCAGGGACGTTCTGCAAATTCCCCGCCCACCCTGGCAGAGCGCTCAGCCAATTCTGAAAGCCCCAGCTTCTCGGGGACCGTCTGCAAACTCTAGACCCTGTACGAGAGGATTTGAAGCCGCTCTGTTCTGCATCCCAAGGAGAAACAGGCAGCGTGCTAGACTACGGGAGTTGGAACCATAAATACTACGCTAAAAAAGGTCGGGGATAAGGTACGATTACTGATACAGACGGTGCATCCTCCAGAAAGATGCTCTCTGGGCCTCTTGAGGACAGAGACCGTCCAGGAGTGAAGTCAGTGGGGAGGAGATGGCGGGCTAAACTATTTAGGGGTCCTGGCAACTTTAACAAACGTCCTGAGCTCCCTTTTCTACTTTGTAGAATAGATTGGCAGAAGCAGTTGGAATTTCTGTCCCTTCTCTCTCTCCCTCCCCCCCCCCCCTCTCTCTCTCTCTCTCTCTCTCTCTCTCTCTCTTTTAAAAAAAAAATCTATTTGGTGACTTTTTGTGATTTTGTTTGAATGGGGGGGGGGGGTGTTCTCACCTAGCCCAAACCGGCCACGAACTTGCTTAAAGCCCAGGATAACCTCGAATTCCGGATCCTCTTGCCTTCATCTCCAGAATGCAGGGATTACAAGCACCAGACCTACGGGGCCCTTAGTTTTGTGACCCTGGGCAAGCCATTTCTCCAGCTCCTCTCGGCAGTTCTATTGATGAGAGTAATAACGGCTGCTTCATGAGGTTATTGTGTTTTCACATATGAGGTTATTGTGAAGGTGGAATGAAATATTTGTAAAGGATTTGGCAATGACTGGTCCACAGTAGGCACACAATCTTCTAATGTGCTCTTTTCTCTGCTCTGTCTGCATTTTATGAGCAGCCTGGACAGCTTAACTCCGTGCTGCTGTAAATTCAAAAAGAAATAAAACACATCCCCTGCCCTGAGGGCACCACAATGAAACACTGACTAGCATGAAATATTAAATCAGTCTGCCCTCCAGGGAGCTGGCCATGCTTTTACATCATGGAGCATTATAGATCCTGGTTAAGTGTTATCTGGAATGGAAGGAGGGCGGACTGGTGGATTATCTAGGGTGTAAATGACAGGAAGCCCTGCCCCTGTGAGCAGTCACAATATCCAATTACACTATAAGGGTTTCTTCTGCAGAATTCCTTCAATCCTGCTTTGCAAACCCCCTGGGGTCTTCATTCTTGAGCTGACTTCACCCTAACTTGCCCTCCCACCCCACACCCAGCAGAATCATTTGAAACCTGGGGGCTATGGAATTTTGAAATTCTTTAACTAGAAATAATTGAGTTCCTCTTCTGAGTTTTGTAAAGTAGCCTGCTGGGACACACAAGCAGTGTGTGTGCTCTTGACTCCAGGGTCTTCATAGAACACACCTGTGGTGTTGCCTCTTACACGGAGCTCCCGGGGATATACACAAATAACATCAGCCTTCCTTTTTACATCCACCTGGAGGAAAAGGCTGGCTCAGGTGAGCTTCCAGAGAGCTGTCAAAAACAGTCCAAGTGGTGTCCAAGGATGGCGAGGAAATCTGGGTGGGCAGAGCAATACCCTAAGAAAGGAGCTCTCCTGGAAACCCCAGGAACGTTCTGAGGTGCTATTCTTCGCATTCCCTAAGTAGAAAATGTCTCAAGAAAAATGGTGACATCTGGTGGCCAGGACTTTCTGTGCTGGGTACAGACTCGAATCATAATAGATTCTCTTGAAAGCCAAGTTCCCATGAATGGTTCCCAACTGTACCAACCCAGTTGCCTGAAAGACATTAATTATTAAACTTTATATAGGATGTTCTATATAGTTACCTCAGATTCTTTAACCCAAAGCAATATGCATATAAAGGAATAAAGTATGATATAAATAAAATATTAAATTTATGTGTATGCATGTGCGTATTCTCTGTCTTATGTATTCTTCTTACATACCTAAATATATTGCACATTCTTGGGAGACAATATTACTTTAATTGTTCTTCCTATGGAGTAAAGGCGATAATTTACTGGAGATGGAGAGAAGCTTCAGTCAGTAGAGTGCTTATTTGCCTGAACATGCAGACCTGAATTCTGCCTCCAGAACCTATATGAAAAGGGCCAGGCTTTGTAGAGCATGCGTGTAATCCTAGCGTTGGGGAGAAAGAAACCTGGGGATCCCTAGAGCTTGCTGGCCATCCCGCTTAGCCAAATTGGAGAGTTCCAGGTAAGAGTGAGTGATCCTGCCTCAAGAAACTAGGTCATCTGTGAAAGGACACCTAAGGTTGACCTCTGATCTCCAAGGGAACATGAACACAGGGACTGTAATACACTGTGTGAATTGCAAGAGGACTGTTCCTTACAGAGTGGGAGGTGGAGACTAGAAAGGGACTAGTCCATCTCTACTTCACATCTGTGTGTCCTGGGACAGCATTTACTACGAAGTTAGTAAGATTTGGGGCTTCTGTGGGGAAAGACTTCCGGCTGAGGGTCAAGTCCATGCGCTCTGGTGAGAGGAGTGAAATTTCTACCTTTTCCATCACTCATGAACAGTGGATGTGTTGCATGAATTTAATCACACCTCCACCCCCTCCTTACAGGACACCAGTGACAAAACAAAGTACAATCCTACCAAAGTCCAACGTGGGGAATTCATGAGTTTATTGGGTTTATACAGAGTATGGGGTGAGAGGTTTCTTAGAGGAGATTCTTTAGTCAGTAGAGTGCTCGCTTGTATGAATGAGGGGACCTGAATTTCATCCCCAGAACCTATATGAAAAGGTGATCTTGAGCCAGCCACACTTCAGCACAGATAGTGACTTCCTCATAGCTATACAGACTGTATATAACATTTCGGTTAGTACTCTATGATTTATATACCCTAGTGTCTCCCAAGACCACAGGACCCTATGCAACTGGGGCAGACTCCAGGTGTTCTAGTTTCCTTCTATCACTATGACTAATGCCGTGACCAAAAGCCACTTGGGAGAAAAGAGTTCATTTGACTTACACCTCCAGCTCACAACTCATTACTGGGAGGACTCAGGCTAGGAACTCAAGACAGGAGCCATGTGGGAGCACTGCTTGCTGCCTCGTTCTCTGACTTCATCACAGACCCGTGTTATCCAGGGTTGGTGCAGCCCATGGTGGTCTTGGCCCTTCCACGTCGTTTATTAATCGACAATCTCTCAAAATCATGGCAACAGGCCAATCCAGGCTGGGCAGTTCCTCAGTTGAAGTTCCCTATTCCTAGGATGCGTCAAGTTGACAGTCAAAACCAGCTAGCACACTACATACACATACATGAATACATCCTGTGTGGAGATTCAGGAGGGAGTGATAGAAAGCTCAAGGGACAGTCCAGTGACATTCCTCACCTCCTCTCCCCATGCCGGATCCTCAACAGTCAACAGGCCTCCTGGTCTCAGGGGTCCCTTGCTAGGAGTCAAAGCTGCCCTGGCGAGGTCAGTGGCTGAGAACAGCCAGGATAACAGGAGGATGGAGAACGACAGCAAGCTGTCAGGTGGAAAGGATGATGGATGTCTTGGATTTTTGTCATCTCATTACCGGTATGGGTTGCTAAGTCATTCTGAATTATATTGCTCCATGGCTGCCCATATATTTGTTCCAGGTGCCACACGGTGGATAATTGCTCAGTTATCAGCGTAAGTAAACATGCTCTGTCACACAGTTATCCCTTGTTTCCTCACCTCTCTTTGAGAATTACGTTTATTGTTATAACACTTCAGGGGACAGAGTTTATTGTGTCCCATAAACAGATTTAGAAAAGGTAACTAGCATACCTACCCACAAGCACTATTGCTAAGGCCCTTAGCCAAGACTAGAATCCAAAGTCAACTTGTTCCCAAAGCCTGGGATCTTCTGTGCCTTGCTGCCCACATTAGACAACCAGGAAGAGATGAAGAACAGAGCGAGCACTAAAGCGTATGGGGTAGACAGAAGCCGCATTTCTTGGCCTGTTGAAATGTCAAGCAAATAACAATTGTGATCATAACACGTATAAAACTGTGTCCCATGCGTTTTCGTCTTTGATCAGGGCTCTGTTAGGTGCCACCACTACCCCCACAGCAACGGGATTTTTGCTTGTGTTTGCTTTGTTGTAGCTTTTTTTCTGCCTGGCCTTGAATCACCTTCCTGCCCAGAGGGATTATCTACTGTGTTCTTGGAGAAGGCTGATCCTGTGCTGGTTAAGGGGATGGCTGAGCTGGACAAGTCAGTGGTGCCCAGTCCCTACTGTGCTCATGCTGGTGTGTGGCGGGATGCTGAGGTGGTGGTACCCCAACCTTACCAGTGCTCGTGCTGTATGGCTGTGGGCGCTGTTTCGAGATGCTAGCCACTGAGGCGATGACTGTCTTTCTTTTAAAGAAATTCCTTTCCTCCTTAAATCAGTCAGAATAAGTTCGGTTGTTTCTAATTAAGTAGCTGGATGATAGACATTTGAATCAAGAGCTATAGCTCTTGGGGAAAAAAGTGCATCAGGGAAGGGTCATCTAGTTTGATTACAGCCAGAGCTGAAACACAGTAGAAAGGTTTTGGGGTGGGGGCCCAGGACTATAGCCGAATGGCACAGCACTTTCTAGCATACATGAAGTCCTGAGTACAATCTCCAGAAGCAAAAAGGAAATGGAAACAAAATTAAAACTTTCATATGTGACTTTTGGGCTATACTAGCTAAATTTCATTAAATTCATGGTCAGGGATATAGCTTGGCGGTAGAGTATATAGAAGGTTCTAGGTTCAATCCCTAGCACCATAAAATATGTATTAAATGATAATTGATTTCATATGAATTAAAGTAGCCAAATCAAATTTTAGGGAGAGCAAGCAGAAACTAAGGATTATGAGGACCATGGGAAGAGGGTAGCTGTGTGGAGTTGAACCAGTGAGATTGTGGGGAAAAGTTCTTGTAGTCAAGCCTGCCAACTTGAGTTCAGTCCCAGAGCCTCAAATGGTAGAGA